TTAGACAACTTGGTAAACACAACTTAGACAACTTGGTAAACACAACTTAGACAACTTGGTAAACACAACTTAGACAACTTGGTGAACACAACTTAGACAACTTGGTAAACACAACTTAGACAACTTGGTAAACACAACTTAGACAACTTGGTAAACACAACTTAGACAACTTGGTAAACAGAACTTGGTAAACACAACTTAGACAACTTGGTGAAGATAACTTAGACAACTTGGTAAATACAACATAGACAACTTGGTAAACAGAACTTAGACAACTTGGTAAACACAACTTAGACAACTTGGTGAAGATAACTTAGACAACTTGGTAAACACAACTTAGACAACTTGGTAACCACAACTTAGACAACTTGGTAAACACAACTTAGACAACTTGGTGAAGATAACTTAGACAACTTGGTAAACACAACTTAGACAACTTGGTGAAGATAACTTAGACAACTTGGTAAACACAACTTAGACAACTTGGTAAACACAACTTAGACAACTTGGTAAACACAACTTAGACAACTTGGTAAACACAACTTAGACAACTTGGTGAAGATAACTTAGACAACTTGGTAAACACAACTTAGACAACTTGGTGAAGATAACTTAGACAACTTGGTAAACACAACTTAGACAACTTGGTAAACACAACTTAGACAACTTGATAAACACAACTTAGACAACTTGGTAAACACAACTTAGACAACTTGGTGAAGATAACTTAGACAAGATAAGATAAGATAAGCTAAGATTTCGTTCGGATTTTTAACCCCGGAGGGTTAGCCACCCAGGATAACCCAAGAAAGTCAGTGCGTCATCGAGGACTGTCTAACTTATTTCCATTGTGGTCCTTAATCTTGTCCCCCAGGATGCGACCCACACCAGTCCACTAACACCCAGGTACCTATTTGCTGCTAGGTGAACAGGACAACAGGTGTAAGGAAACGTGTCGGAATTTCCACCCGCCGGGAATCAAACCCGGGCCCTCCGTGTGTGAAGCGGGAGTTATAGCCACCAGACCATCAGGCCAACTTGGTGAAGATAACTTAGACAACTTGGTAAACACAACTTAGACAACTTGGTAAACACAACTTAGACAACTTGGTAAACACAACTTAGACAACTTGGTAAACACAACTTAGACAACTTGGTAAACACAACTTAGACAACTTGGTAAACACACTTAGACAACTTGGTAAACACAACTTAGACAACTTGGTAAACACAACTTAGACAACTTGGTAAACACAACTTAGACAACTTGGTAAACACAACTTAGACAACTTGGTAAACACAACTTAGACAACTTGGTGAAGACAACTTGGTAAACACAACTTAGACAACTTGGTAAACACAACTTAGATAACTTGGTGAAGACAACTTGGTAAACACAACTTAGACAACTTGGTAAACACAACTTAGACAACTTGGTGAAGACAACTTGGTAAACACAACTTAGACAACTTGGTAAACACAACTTAGACAACTTGGTAAACACAACTTAGACAACTTGGTAAACACAACTTAGACAACTTGGTAAACACAACTTAGACAACTTGGTAAACACAACTTAGACAACTTGGTAAACACAACTTAGACAACTTAGTAAACTCAACTTAGACAACTTGGTAAACACAACTTAGACAACTTGGTAAACACAACTTAGACAACTTAGTAAACTCAACTTAGACAACTTGGTAAACACAACTTAGACAACTTAGTAAACTCAACTTAGACAACTTGGTAAACTCAACTTAGACAACTTGGTAAACATAACTTAGACAACTTGGAAAACACAACTTAGACAACTTGGTAAACATAACTTAGACAACTTGGTAAACACAACTTAGACAACTTGGTAAACACAACTTAAACAACTTGGTAAACACAACTTAGACAACTTGGTAAACATAACTTAGACAACTTGGTAAACTCAACTTAGACAACTTGGTAAACACAACTTAGACAACTTGGTAAACACAACTTAAACAACTTGGTAAACATAACTTAGACAACTTGGTGAAGACAACTTAGACAACTTGGTAAACACAACTTAGACAACTTGGTAAACACAACTTAGACAACTTGGTAAACTCAACTTAGACAACTTGGTAAACACAACTTAGACAACTTGGTAAAAACAACTTAAACAACTTGGTAAACATAACTTAGACAACTTGGTGAAGACAACTTAGACAACTTGGTAAACACAACTTAGACAACTTGGTAAACACAACTTAGACAACTTGGTAAACTCAACTTAGACAACTTGGTAAACATAACTTAGACAACTTGGTGAAGAGAACTTGGTAAACACAACTTAGACAACTTTGTAAACACAACTTAGACAACTTGGTGAAGACAACTTGGTAAACACAACTTAGACAACTTAGTAAACACAACTTAGACAACTTAGTAAACACAACTTAGACAACTTGGTAAACACAACTTAGACAACTTGGTGAAGACAACTTGGTAAACACAACTTAGACAACTTAGTAAACACAACTTAGACAACTTGGTAAACACAATTTAGACAACTTGGTAAACACAACTTAGACAACTTGGTAAACACAACTTAGACAACTTGGTAAACACAACTTAGACAACTTAGTAAACACAACTTAGACAACTTGGTAAACACAACTTAGACAACTTGGTAAACACAACTTAGACAACTTTGGGAAACACAACTTAGACAACTTAGTAAACACAACTTAGACAACTTGGTAAACACAACTTAGACAATTTAGTAAACACAACTTAGACAACTTGGTAAACACAACTTAGACAACTTGGTAAACACAACTTAGACAATTTGGTAAACACAACTTAGACAACTTGGTAAACACAACTTAGACAACTTGGTAATCACAACTTAGACAACTTGGTAAACACAACTTAGACAACTTGGTAAACACAACTTAGACAATTTGGTAAACACAACTTAGACAACTTGGTAAACACAACTTAGACAATTTGGTAAACACAACTTAGACAACTTGGTAAACACAACTTAGACAATTTGGTAAACACAACTTAGACAACTTGGTAAACACAACTTAGACAACTTGGTAAACACAACTTAGACAATTTGGTAAACAACGTAGACAACTTGGTAAACACAACTTAGACAACTTGGCAAACACAACTTTGACAATTTCGTAAACACAACTTAGACAATTTGGTAAACACAACTTAGACAACTTGGTAAACACAACTTAGACAACTTTGTAAACACAACTTAGACAACTTGGTAAACACAACTTAGACAATTTGGTAAACACAACTTAGACAACTTTGTAAACACAACTTAGACAACTTTGTAAACACAACTTAGACAACTTGGTAAACACAACTTAGACAATTTGGTAAACACAGCTTAGAAAATTTGGTAAACACAACTTAGACAACTTGGTAAACACAGCTTAGACAATTTGGTAAACACAACTTAGACAATTTGGTAAACACAACTTAGACAACTTGGTAAACACAACTTAGACAACTTTGTAAACACAACTTAGACAATTTGGTAAACACAACTTAGACAATTTGGTAAACACAACTTAGACAACTTGGTAAACACAACTTAGACAACTTTGTAAACACAACTTAGATAATTTGGTAAACACAACTTAGACAATTTGGTAAACACAACTTAGACAATTTGGTAAACAGCGTAGACAACTTGGTAAACACAACTTAGACAACTTGGCAAACACAACTTTGACAATTTCGTAAACACAACTTAGACAATTTGGTAAACACAACTTAGACAATTTGGTAAACAACGTAGACAATTTGGTAAACACAACTTAGACAACTTGGTAAACACAACTTAGACAACTTGGCAAACACAACTTAGACAACTTGGCAAACACAACTTAGACAATGAAAATATAAACACATATGCAGTATAATGTGATCCTTTATTGACAACGTTTCGCCCACACAGTGGGCTTTTTCAAGTCACAAACAGATCTACCTGGGTTGGAAGGTACGGGAGTATTTATAGTCAGGTTCAGAATGCTGAGGTCAGGTGGAGAATGCTGCATCTGATGATGTACCGAGTGGGGTTATAGAGTCTAAAAAGTTGGGTAGCTTGGAAAGGAGATTGGATAAGTTTGTGAGCAGACCTTCTACAGTGTTCTTATGTGGGATAGCGATGAAGAAGTTTCTTGGCAAGTTTGGTTTTGGTGTCGTGGTGAGAGTAAAAGTGGAGAAGATCGTTTTGGTTGGTGGGTTTTCGATAGACTTTAAAACGAAGTTCGTGGTCAGCTTTGCAGAGCAGAACATCAAGGAAAGGAAGAGTGTTGTCGACTTCTTCTTCAAGTGTGAACTGGATTGAAGGCTCGACCTGGTTGAGCTTGTCTTGGAGAGCTTTAACATTGAAGCGTTTAGGAGTTAAAGCTCTCCAAGACAAGCTCAACCAGGTCGAGCCTTCAATCCAGTTCACACTTGAAGAAGAAGTCGACAACACTCTTCCTTTCCTTGATGTTCTGCTCTGCAAAGCTGACCACGAACTTCGTTTTAAAGTCTATCGAAAACCCACCAACCAAAACGATCTTCTCCACTTTTACTCTCACCACGACACCAAAACCAAACTTGCCAAGAAACTTCTTCATCGCTATCCCACATAAGAACACTGTAGAAGGTCTGCTCACAAACTTATCCAATCTCCTTTCCAAGCTACCCAACTTTTTAGACTCTATAACCCCACTCGGTACATCATCAGATGCAGCATTCTCCACCTGACCTCAGCATTCTGAACCTGACTATAAATACTCGCGTTCCTTCCACCCCAGGTAGATCTGTTTGTGACTTGAAAAAGCCCACTGTGTGGGCGAAACGTAGTCAATAAAGGATCACATTATACTGCATATGTGTTTATATTTCCATTGTGTCGGTATTTTATACCATTTATTTCCACAACTTAGACAACTTGGCAAACACAACTTAGAGAACTTAGCACTGTTTATTAATGTGGTACTTACAGTGGCAGGTATATAGCAGTGTTGTGGGTGGAGGTGGGCAGTGGGTGGACGAGGGCGGTGAGTGGACGAGGGCGGTGAGTGGACGAGGGCGGTGAGTGGACGAGGGCGGTGAGTGGACGAGGGCGGTGAGTGGACGAGGACGGTGAGTGGACGAGGACGGTGAGTGGACGAGGGCGGTGGGTGGACGAGGGCGGTGGGTGGCGTGTAGTATAAATGGTGTGTAGATGGTGACTGTGTCACCACCCACCCACTGTCTACTGTTGGACTGTGACTCCATCCGTCTGCCGCCCACCACTCCTCATTCTGGCCATGCGCCCTCTCACCACCTTTACTAGTCATGCGCCCTCTCACCACCTTAAGTAGCCATGCGCCCTCTCACCACCTTAACTAGCCATGTGCCCTCTCACCACCCTAACTAGCCATGTGCCCTCTCACCATCCTAACTAGCCATGCGCCCTCACCACCTTAACTACCCATGCGCCCTCTAACCACCCTAACTAGCCATGCGCCCTCTCACCACATTAACTAGTCATGCGCCCTCTCACCACCTTAACTAGCCATGCGCCCTCTCACCACCTTAACTAGTCATGTGCCCTCTCACCACCTTAACTAGCCATACGCCCTCTCACCACCTCAACTAATCATGCACCCTCTCACCACCTTAACTAGCTATGCGCCATCTCACCACCTTAACTAGCCATGCGCCCTCTCACCACCCTAACTAACCATGCACCCTCTCACCACCTTAATTAGTATTGCGCCTTCTCACCACCTTAACTTGTCATGCGCCCTCTCACCACCCTAACTAGCCATGCGCCCTCTCACCACCCTAACTAGCCATGCGCCCTCTCACCACCTTAACTAGCCATGCGCCCTCTCACCACCCTAACTAGCCATGCACCCTCTCACCACCCTAACTAGCCATGCGCCCTCTCACCACCCTAACTAGCCATGCGCCCTCTCACCACCCTAACTAGCCATGCGCCCTCTCACCACCCTAACTAGCCATGCACCCTCTCACCACCCTAACTAGCCATGCGCCCTCTCACCACCCTAACTAGCCATGCGCCCTCTCACCACCCTAACTAGCCATGTGCCCTCTCACCACCCTAACTAGCCATGCACCCTCTCACCACCCTAACTAGCCATGCGCCCTCTCACCACCTTTACTAGTCATGCGCCCTCTCACCACCCTAACTAGCCATGCGCCCTCTCACCACCTTTACTAGTCATGCGCCCTCTCACCACCCTAACTAGCCATGTGCCCTCTCACCACCCTAACTAGCCATGCGCCCTCTCACAACCTTTACTAGTCATGCACCCTCTCACCACCCTAACTAGCCATGCACCCTCTCACCACCTTTACTAGTCATGCGCCCTCTCACCACCCTAACTAGCCATGCGCCTTCTCACCACCCTAACTAGCCATGCACCCTCTCACCACCTTTACTAGTCATGCGCCCTCTCACCACCCTAACTAGCCATGCACCCTCTCACCACCTTTACTAGTCATGCGCCCTCTCACCACCCTAACTAGCCATGCGCCCTCTCACCACCCTAACTAGCCATGTGCCCTCTCACCACCCTAACTAGCCATGCGCCCTCTCACAACCCTAACTAGCCATGTGCCCTCTCACCACCCTAACTAGCCATGCGCCCTCTCACCACCCTAACTAGCCATGTGCCCTCTCACCACCCTAACTAGCCATGCGCCCTCTCACCACCCTAACTAGCCATGCGCCCTCTCACCACCCTAACTAGTCATGTGCCCTCTTACCACCTTAACTAGCCATGCACCCTCTCACCACCCTAACTAGCCATGTGCCCTCTCACCACCCTAACTAGTCATGCGCCCTCTTACCACCTTAACTAGCCATGCGCCCTCTCAACACCCTAACTAGTCATGCGCCCTCTTACCACCTTAACTAGCCATGCACCCTCTCACCACCTTAACTAGCCATGCGCCCTCTCACCACCTTAACTAGCCATGCGCCCTCTCACCACCCTAACTAGCCATGCGCCCTCTCACCACCTTAACTAGCCATGCGCCCTCTCACCACCTTAACTAGCCATGCGCCCTCTCACCACCCTAACTAGCCATGCGCCCTCTCACACACCTTAACTAGCCATGCACCCTCTCACCACCTTAACTAGCCATGCGCCCTCTCACCACCCTAACTAGCCATGCGCCCTCTCATCACCTTAACTAGCCATGTGCCCTCTCACCACCCTAACTAGCCATGTGCCCTCTCACCACCCTAACTAGCCATGTGCCCTCTCACCACCTTAACTAGTCATGTGCCCTCTCACCACCTTAACTAGTCATGTGCCCTCTCACCACCTTAACTATTCATGTGCCCTCTCACCACCTTAACTAGCCATGTGCCCTCTCACCACCTTAACTAGCCATGTGCCTCTCACCACCTTAACTAATCATATGCCCTCATCACCTTAACTAGTCATGTGCCCTCATCACCTTAACTAGCCATGCACCCTCTCACCACCTTAACTAGCCATGTGCCCTCTCACCACCTTAACTAGCCATGTGCCCTCTCACCACCTTAACTAGCCATGTGCCCTCTCACCACCTTAACTAATCATATGCCCTCATCACCTTAACTAGTCATGTGCCCTCATCACCTTAACTAGCCATGCACCCTCTCACCACCTTAACTAACCATGTGCCCTCTCACCACCTTTACTAGACATGCGCACTCTCACCACCTTAACTAGCCATGCGCCCTCTCACCACCTTAACTAGTCATGCGCCCTATCACCACCCTAACTAGCCATGCGCCCTCTCACCACCTTAACTAGTCATGCACCCTCTCACCATCCTAACTAGCCATGCGCCCTCACCACCTTAACTAGCCATGTGCCCTCTAACCACTCTAACTAGCCATGCGCCCTCTCACCACATTAACTAGTCATGCGCCCTCTCACCACCTTAACTAGCCATACGCCCTCTCACCACCTTAACTAATCATGCACCCTCTCACCACCTTAACTAGCTATGCGCCATCTCACCACCTTAACTAGCCAGCGCCCTCTACCTCCCTTAACTAACCATGCACCCTCTCACAACTTAATTTAGCTATGAAGCCCTCCAACCAAAACGATCTTCTCCACTTTTACCTAACTCACCATGCGCCCCCAACCACCCAACTTCTCATGCGCCTTCCCCACTTAAACCTAGAAGGTCCTCTCACACCAACTTACATTGCCCTCCTCACCACCCAAATTAGCCATAACCCCACTCACCACATCAGCAGCATGCTCCCTCTGACCCACCCTAACTGACATAAACTCCTTCCTTCCACCCCAACTAGTTTGTGCACTTCGAAAACCCAACTGTTGGCGCCGAAACTACGCAATAAAGATCACATTATCACTGCAATGGTTCTAACTACCATGTGCGCTATTTATACCATTTATTTCACATGCGCCACTTGCAACACCCTAAACTAGCACTGTTATAACTGTGGTACTTACAGCCAGTAATACCCATGCGCGTGATGCCACCCGGTACGGGCGGATGGCCGGGGCTGAGTGACAGGGCCGTAACTGGGGCGAGGGCGAGCTTGAGCTGGACCACCGTAACGAGGACATGGCGGGCGTTGGACGAGGCCTTTAATAGTAATGTGACCTGCTCACCACCCACTCCATGTCTACTTTACTGTCTCCCCTCTGCGACCACCACCTAATCTGCCATGCGCCCTCTCACCACCTTTACTAGTCATGGCACCCTCTCACCACCTTAAGTAGCCATGCGCCCTCTCACCACCTTACTAGCCCATGTCCCTCTCACCACCCTAACTAGCCATGCCCTCTCACCATCCTAACTAGCCATGCCCCCTCACCACCTTTAACTAGCTATGCGCCCTCTAACCACCCTAACTAGCCATGCACCCTCTCACCACCTTTAACTAGTCATGCGCCCTCTCACCACCTAACTAGCCATGCCCCTCTCACCACCTTAACTAGCATGGCCCTCTCACCACCCTTAACTAGCCATCGCCCTCTCACCACCCTCAACTATCATGCGCCCTCTCACCACCCTTAACTAGCATGCGCCTCTCACCACCTAACTAGCCATGCGCCCTCTCACCACCCTAACTACCATGCACCCTCTCACCACCTAATTAGTATTGCCCTTCTCACCACCTTAACTGCATGCACCCTCTCACCACCCTAACTAGCCATGCACCCTCTCACCACCCTAACTAGTCATGCGCCCTCTTACCATCTTAACTAGCCATGCGCCCTCTCACCACCCTAACTAGCCATGCGCCCTCTCACCACCCTAACTAGCCATGCGCCCTCTCACCACCCTAACTAGCCATGCGCCCTCTCACCACCCTAACTAGCCATGCGCCCTCTCACCACCCTAACTAGCCATGCGCCCTCTCACCACCCTAACTAGCCATGCGCCCTCTCACCACCCTAACTAGCCATGCCCACCCTACCCTCACCCCTCTAAACCCCAAACTAGCCATGCCCTCTCACCACCCTAACTAGCCATGCACCCTCTACCACCTAACTAGCCATGCGCCCTCTCACCACCTTTACTAGTCATGCGCCCTCTCACCACCCTAACTAGCCATGCACCCTCTCAACACCCTAACTAGCCATGCGCCCTCTCACCACCCTAACTAGCCATGGCCCTCTCACCACCCTAACTAGCCATGCGCCCTCTCACCACCTTACTAGTCATGCGCCCTCTCACCACCCTAACTAGCCATGCGCCCTCTCACCACCTTTACTAGTCATGCGCCCTCTCACCACCCTAACTAGCCATGCACCCTCTCACCACCCTAACTAGCCATGCGCCCTCTCACCACCTTTACTAGTCATGCACCCTCTCACCACCCTAACTAGCCATGCACCCTCTCACCACCTTTACTAGTCATGCGCCCTCTCACCACCCAAAACTAGCCATGCGCCTCTCACCACCCTAACTAGCCATGCACCTCTCACCACCTTTACTAGCCCATGCGCCCTCTCACAACCAACCCATCCCTAACCCTAAGCCATGCCCCTCTCACCACCTTTACTAGTCATGTGCCCTCTCACCACCCTAACTAGCCATGCGCCCTCTCACCACCCTAACTAGCCATGCGCCCTCTCACCACCCTAACTAGCCATGCGCCCTCTCACCACCCTAACTAGCCATGCCCCTCTCACCACCCTAACTAGCCATGCGCCCTCTCACCACCCTAACTAGCCATGCGCCCTCTCACCACCCTAACTAGCCATGCGCCCTCTCACCACCCTAACTAG